TTTTCTAGTAATTTTTTTAAATTAAAATTTTTGAAGAAAAATTTTACAATTAAAATGTCTTTCTTCTCATACAATTTTCCATGTCTCCCCCCAGGTTTTTTATTGTATTTATTAGAGTGTTTTTAATAACTTCAAGGAATGATTTTGCAATTAATGAATTAGTTTCTGAGAAAAAAAAATAAAAATACATTTTTATCTAAAATCTTTAAAACAAATAGGATCTCAGTCACATATTCATTTCAAATAATTTTTCTTTTCAGTATTTTGCAAAACCCATCCTGTTTCTATAAAGTATATAATTTTAAATAAGCAGTAAAAATAATAAATAATTTAGTTCATACCTGTATATGTTTTAGGACTTTAAGTAAAAGGATTTATCGAAAAAAATGCAAAAGGTTTCTCAGTTTGCATTTGCAGTTTAAAGAATGCAAACTGTCTAAATAGACTTTTAATCATTTCAAATCTTTAAAATTTTAATACTGAATTTCAATACACACATATATATATAAATCAAACCTAGTGCTATTTATTCAATTGGTAAATATAAGCATAAATTACAAACCCTTTTTTTAAAACCTTATGTGGCCAAAAAAATTGCAAAAAATCATAAAACGCAAGCAGAATTTTTTTTACCTGTTTTTGTTTTGTAAAACATGTTCAAAACAATTTTAATACATTAATTAATTATAATATTGTTACGTGCGTAAGGGTTTATAATAGATTGTTAATAGTTCGTAAATGATTGTCATTGCACTCAAATCCGATGATAGCTTAATTAAATTTATTTTATCAACAGAAACACTTCAAAGTTCTGGAATTTTCCACAGAAATACTCGCACAAGTGTTTAGAATATCACTAAGTATAATCAGCAGTTATGCTTCAATCTAATAAGAACGTTAAACACAATGGAATGCAAAACGCATCTTAAGAGAAAGTTAACTCAAAAATATCTCCAATCTTATGCTGAACTAACAACTGGTAACAATAACAACATATATAGTATAAATAATATCATAAAGATAGTGTGTAATAATGAGATTATTACTTTGAAACAGATGTTTCAAATTGATGCCCAAGAAGAATCAATATTTTCCATTCTGCTTCATTGCATATCTTTCAAAAAAGTTAAAAAATCATCCAATTAATTTCCTTTATCATTTTTTTCAAATGTGAAAAATTTGTTTTATAAGCTGGGAAAATCTCGGAAGTTTGTAACCGATGTATTTTTAGATATGAAATTTTAAAATTAATGGACATCAAAAAGTCTAAAAATATGGACGATTTAAAAAAATTCTCCCAAAATATTTTTTAAAAAAATTAAAAATTTCATTTAATTTTTTTTTCCTCCACAGTGTGTTATGGTGCAAACTATAATATTCTAAGATTCTCAGTTTATTTGTTAATATTTGCAAAAAATTGTTTCGACTTTAAGTTTGAAAAAAATCTAATCGTCTAAAAATCAAAAGCGTGACACCACATCCACAAGTAATGTATGTACAAAGTTTGAGTTCTATAGCTTATCGGAAAGCAGTTTAAAAATTCATGACCATCTTTTAACCATAGCGACAACCACCAAGAGTGAACTAAATAACAGCTTATAAAATAATAATAATTAAAAAGCATATATATTTCAGGAACCATTACGAAAGTTCAGGTACCAGTTACGAAAGTACAGATTACAAAATTAACAGCAGTAAACAACGCTAAAAATGTGTAAAAACAGTATTAGAATTCTGCGAATTCGGAGACGTGATTGTTCACAGAGGCTTAGGGGTAAAGGGCAGGAAGACGGTGGTCTTCTGAATGGGTCCTAAATATGAAACTCTTTCATGTCTCCTTTTTCTCCTCTTGCTAACGGCAGCTGTGTCGAGGAGTGTTGCACATGAATGGGGTTTTAGACTTATAAAAATCTATCCTGAAAAGTTAAAAGAAGTAGCCCTAACAGTAACAGCTCTTCCTCCTACTCAAGTCATTGTGGAAAGTTCTCAGCTCTAAAGTTTATCAAACTGGTTTACGATCCTCTAACAAAGATATTGCCGAAGCTATTCTGTTTCTTAGAAATTACTAATGCCAGTTTTTCCATTTATTTAATTCGCTGTGTTATCAATTGTTTTTCTGTAATTTCTATTACTTCTTTCATATTAAAAAATACGCTATAATCCATGTGTATATGTTTACATGTATATGAGGGAGTCAAAGTCGGAGTCTTTAAAATTCCAGGACTCCACAGCCCTGGATTTATTACACTCTTCATTAATTAGGTTTTCCCTATCATGGTTAAGTATTTTGTCAAAATTTTCAGTTTCATAAAAAGGCATTTCAACCAAACTATCTTTACTAATGTTTACATTTTTGCATTCAAAATTAAACTTTCATTTATCATCTCCAATTAACTCATTAAAAGCCCTTAACGACAAGTAAATCATTACATAACTTATCCACCATTGCACAGGTTATAAAAATAGGTGACATAAATTTATTATTTTCAGAACACATCACTAAAGGTAGGTTAATGAGAGGAGTTTGCTGTTAGGGCATTAGAATTATTCTTCAATTTCTTCCTTAGCAACCTTTTCCTTATCTTCATGCAAAAATATATTATGATACTTAGAATTACATTTTAAGCATTTTGATTAAGAATGGCAATTTTTTGTTCTACAGTTCCTTTCGAAACAAAGAAAGCACTGATTACAATTTTTTAAACTCTTTTTCCTTTCTTCCAGGGACATAACTCATTTTTCCGAAACACGATTTTCGCTTCCACAAAATAAGCAAGGAAAAGTTCGAATAGCTGCAATTTTGCTTACATTACGGGAATACTCAGCGCCAAACGAGTTAGCGTTAAATTAATTACAAGTGTGGAAATTGTTTCGTTTGTCATTGGATCAAGAATGCTTTTCAAGAGAAATTACATTAAGAGAAATTACTCTTGGAATAAGATAAATTTAATGCAGTTCATTCGCAAATTTTTTATTTCCCATTTTAGAAATTTTATGAGATCTTCGACATTAAAATTTTCTTCATCTGCTTTCTGACGAGCAAAATCAAGAGTTTTATCCTGAGGAATTAATAAAGGATACAGTAAACTTCTGTATGATTCAGTTTTGATTCCTATCGAATTTACCGACCTTACTTGTATGTTACATGTGTCATATAATTCTCTCAAAGCACGAATATCCTTTTTAAAGCTGCACCGCCTAACTGTCTAAGCAAGTAATTACATTTATCGACTTTGGATAGTTTTCCGTTTTGATTTATTGCCATGTCAGAAGTGTTGTAAAATGTCTGCCACACTTCAGTGTTCCCATAAAATTTATCAATCATAATTTTTGGCAATTTAACATTGTAATCAGAACTTTTATTGACACCAGAAATAGATAAATTATTACTGTCATTAGAAGAACCATTAGAAACTAGTGAATTATTGCTATTTCTTTTTTCTTTCAATAATTTTGTGCCTCTAAAACTCCTTTTCAATCTTTTCGTCGTATTCCAAGACACTTTCGATTTCAGTTTCAATGTCATTAACATCAGTTAAAGTTTTAATTTTTTCATCTAACACTTTCAAAGAAATGGCTTTTAAAATTTCCAATGCTTCTTTTAGGTCTTCAATGTTACCGGTTACAATTAAGGATTCAATAGAACTTATTACTTTGGTAATGGCTGAATGGATATCTTTCCATTTTTTTTTACATTTTGTTAGCTCTTCAGCCATTTTTGGTAAATTTGAATTTCACTTTACAACAAAATAAGTTGAACAAAGTATTTCTTAACTATCTGTAGACTCATTACGCATTTACTTGTGAACTTCGAAGAATCACTTATATCCTCCTTTGCTGACACCACTGTCATGCATTACTTCTGTGTGGCTTCTGGATATATATATATGTCCTGCTTAATGTAGACCCGAGCGTAATGTGGGCATTGTATGTAACAGACGTTTAACAGCACAAACACTTTATTAACACACGAATAAAATACATAGTTAACACAAAAATAGAAATAAAACCACGTTTATCATTATGCTGGCATACATTTGGGTTGTTTTTCCACGCGAGAGAGGCATTGCACACTGTTCACCTAAACTGCACATGCGTGATCATCACATTACCAAAAAACAAGCAACTGGGTGAGCAGATAGGAATACAGATTTTTTCGATGCACAAAATTGAAAATTTACTTTTGATCCCACTTAGCAAAAAGACACTGAAAGTGGTGCACAAACTGACTTATTTTACTATTCTATTAAAAGTTGCAAATGTAAACAAATTTTGGCATCGTCAGGCTTAGCACCACTTAAACAACTTTTAAATTGATGATAAATCTACAAATATTGCATACAGATTAACTAAAGGAATAGAAACCTTAATGTGAATATAAAAACAGCATAATTCAATCGTTTTTAAAGAAAAAATGCACAATTTACCACCTTATAAGAATAAAAAATACCTAGCTCACCAAGCCAAGTAACAGAGGGGGTATACGTATATATATTTATATACTTTTGGTGCAGCCAATTTCAACCAAAAAGATAGATGCACAACTACATGTTATTGCAGTCCCATATACAAAATATCAATGTTCTGAGGCTATTCATTTTTTAGTTACTATATACCGCTGATTTTTGTTGTTTGACTTTTAAATTAATCATTGAATTGCTTTGATCTTATATTACAAATTTATCTCTAATGATTATAATAACTTTTTTCCTTTCATTCATTCTCTATTTGTGCTTGAACTATAATAATTTTATGATTCTGATTAACTTTCTGTATATGCGCAAGATTCAAAACTAATGTCAAATAAATAGTGCTCCAGATTTTGCAATTATTTCCGAATTTTTGTAATTTTTTAATTTGCTTTTTGCATTTAATTTAGCATTTTTATTAAATTTAAATAATTTATTTTCATATTTGGATGCCTGTTAGTTGAGTCATTGTTGAAATGCTTCAGTCTTTAAATGTGTGAAATTTCTTTAGTAGAATATTGGTGTTTTCAGATTAATTTTAAGGTGCAGGCAAGATGCTCGTGCAAGATTTTCAAAACTGCGGTCTGATGTTCTAGTCAAATTGGAACTTCTTGATCAAAAACATGGTAAAACTTATTTCTATTAATCATAAAGATTTCGCCTTTGTTCACTGCATTCCATTCTGAATTTAAAAAAAAAAAACTCTCTCTATAGTTTCTAATACTTTTTGACAAAAAAAGTTTAATCAAATCCTCTTTATTCAATCCTAAGTTGAATTAAATCTTGTTTTTATATATGTAAAATATTGTTATTTATGTATTCGTTAAGAACTGATGGATCTTAATTAGATATTTAAATTGTGCATTATATTGAATATTATCTGTTAAATTGCTGATAATTGTAGAATCAGTATATAAGTAATTTACTCTTAATTTAATTATTAATATAACATAATTTTATTCTTTGCTGTATTCATTGATTCATTTAACTATATTTTTCCAATATACAGTCAAAGATCTAGACTCAGAACTTTGGCGATTTTAAATTACAGCAACTTGAACACTTACATTTAAAGCAACAGCAACTTGAACACTTACATTTTTTTCGATGTAAGTGTTCAAGTTGCTGTTGCTTTCCTTTTCGGTGTGCTGATGCTTTCTCTTTAATTCTATAGACAGACATAATTTCTTGTTCAATTACAAAGTTCCATTGTTCAAGACCTGTAATTGCTGTGTCGAGAATTCCAACTAACTCGCCAATTGACATTTTTCTGTTTTCAATAACTTGTCTGTCACTTTCTTTGCTATTATTAACAGTATCTAGATCTAGAACCATACTACAGATTTCGCTGTCCGTTAATTGATTGATGATTGGGGCATTATCATTGCAATGAAAAACTTCTGTTATAACATCTTCATTTACTACCAGGCTCACCAGCAGCCGAGCGGTCAATTCACTGAACACTGGTAGTTTAAACTGAACACTGTTTGTGGGATTCAAGGTTTGAATTCCACAAACAGGCTGGCTAAATATGCATTTTCGTGATTTTCCCTGTGTGCAATGTGTATACGAGCCAGTTTCTGTTAGAAAGTACTCCACAAAGGCATCCCTTAGGCAAATAACTCTTGAGGCTTTGCAGTAGTCATCACATAAACCAACAAACCAAAGCCTTTTACTGCCTCTTCTCCACATTTCTTTACAGAATCCTTTATTGGAAAATTTCACCTTTGATTGTGATATCAGCAAACCTTTTAATTTACAGCTATTATCTTCATCATTCTCACCATGAAATATGGTAGCTAGCCTTAAATTATGCTAAGCATTTCTTATAGTATATTTTATGCTAAAATATTATAAAAATTCTTGAATAGTCTTGCCATTATTCAAGAAATTTAACATGCATTTTAAAATGCTACTTTACATTTGCATTTCAGCGTGCACACTATTCCGATATCCATAGGCTGAATGATTGACATGCAATTTGGAGGAAAGAATAATACAGATACATTATCTCTCATTAAAACTTTTAAATGAAGTATGAGCCAAACAGTTGTCTACAGCCAGGACAATTTTTTCATCATCAGGTAAACCAACCGAATTCCAGTGTTGTTAAGCCTCATATGAAATTATTTTCAAACCAATCATTCATTAACGCTTGTGTCACCATGCTGTTTTATTTGCATGATATATGAGAGGGAAAATCTTTACTTCTTTAAATCTTGGAGTCATGCATTTTTTCCAATAATGAAAAGTTTACACTTGTGCGTTCCTGCAGCATTTGCATATGCTAAATTGTTAGGCACGCTTTAGAATGTGACACCATTTGGAACCTTTTCTGTAGAGTTTGCCAAGATATTTCGTGGTACATATTGGCAGAAAAGACAGTTTCACCAGAGTTGTAAATTTGTTCTGGAGATAACTTTTCACTATTAATGAGTTCAATGAATTCATCTGCAAATAGTTAGTTTCAATATCAGCTGAAGCTTTTTCACCTGAAATTTTTAATTGCTTTATACCATGGCGACTTTTAAATTTCATTAACCAACCTATTGAATATGTGCACTCAGTTTTTAAGTTCATTTCTTTATGAAATATTTTGGCTTGAGCCATTAACATTATACCTGCGAATGACACGCCCTTGCTGCAACACTGTCTGACTCATTCAATCATCACTTTGTCATGGTCATCACTTTTAGCATAACGAATAATTTTTCTGTTATTCATTGTGAGTGGGGAGGTCGGAATCCATAAAAAATTCAAAAAGTTCCTTTTTCTGTTTTCTTGTGTCATATACTTTCTTGTGCTATACTTTTCGCATAATTTTGAGACTAATATACCTTTATTCATTTTTTTGCAGCAATTCTACTTTTTGTTTAATGGACATCAAAACATACTTTCACTTTGTAGATTCTGTTGCAGCTTCAGAATTAGAAACTCTTTTTGACGTAATCTAATGTTCGGACTTTAATTTTCATAAATTTGTTATAATAATAATTGCTTGCAAAAAATAATAAGCTAGATCAAATCAGAAGGTTAAAGAACAGTGCAGTCTGCTATATTAACTGAAATTCCTTGAAATTTAGTAAAGTATTATTTTAGCCTAGCTTAATAGCATCCGCTGTATGTATGCAAATGATCAGAAGGTTATTGATACGACGTGTTCCTTGATCTATTATACCAAGATATTTTACTGTACATTTATTTACAAGCCATATGCCACCTGGCATGTTTACAAGCGTTATGTCTCCTGGCATGTACATGATACACACATTCTGCCACCTGGCATATAAATTGATACATCATACTAGTTTTCTGCCACCTGGCAGATACGATGCAATTATATCAATTAGCGGTAATACGCCCGACATTTTTGGCGTGACCGCTTCCCTTTACGTTCTATAATGCAACTAACTCTTTGTGCGGTGTGCCCTCTGGCTACAAATCACCGTGATCACCGAGGAGGCCAAAACATCTTCCCCTCCGATGAATTGCTGTCTTCAGATATGCAAACAAGTAAATGAAAAATATAGAAACTGGAAACATACAAAAATCTTCAAAAGTACAAATTTACGTATTGCACTTACCAATCTTCTAGCTTATTGTATTGAAAAGTTAACTATAAGGGTTAAACTAAAGCAAACAAATAAAGAATATTACTACAATAAGCAATGTAAATAACAATAAAACATATTCACTATAAACCAGGCAGTTAAAAGTTAATGTTCTTCAACTGGTAAAAGACACAGTTTGGTAACAGGACGTTATATGTCCCTGTGCACAGTTTTTAGTCTTACCACTCGGACATTATTGTCTCTTCCAGGAAACACTTCTATTACTCGCCCGAGTTTCCAACGTAGCAAAGGCATGTTATCTTCTTTAATGAGAACCAAGTCATTTAGACTAATATTTCTGCTAGGCTGTCTCCATTTGCTACGCTGCTGTAGTTGGCACAGGTACTCTTTAGACCACCGCTTCCAAAACCCTTGGAACATCTGCTGTGTTAGTTGCCATCTTTGCAATGGAGACACTCGTACTTCGGTTACTTGTAATCTTGTTCCGGAACAGCTGTTAAAGAAGTCCCTATAATAAAGTGTCCAGGAGTCAAAGCTGTCAAATCATTGGGATCACTGGAGACCGGTGTTATTGGCCTCGAATTTAAGCATGCTTCAATTTGTGTGCAATTAGAGTTAGAAACTCTTCATAAGTCAAAATTTGAGTTCCAACACATTTCTTTAGATGCAGCTTCATAGATCTAACAGCTGCCTCCCATATGCCACCACGATGTGGAGAAGCCGGCGGGTTGAATATCCACCTTATGTTTTCGTTTGATAACCACCTTTGAACTTCTGATTTTGACTGGACAGAAGAAACTGCTTCCTTGAGGATTTTATTTGAACCTATAAAATTAGCTCTACAATCACTTCTTATTTCTTGGGTTTTTCCTCTCCTTGAAGCAAATCGTTTTAGAGCAGCTAGGAATGCTTCACTTGATAAGTCGCTAGCAATCTCTAAATGGATAGCCTTTGTAGCTAAACAAACGAAAATACAGACATAACATTTAATTGGTCTTATACCTCTTCCCCTTTTCATTTTCACAGAAAATGGGCCGGCATAATCAACGCCAACCTTTGAAAAGGTTCTACTTGGAATCACTCTACTTGCAGGTAGTTCTCCCATTAATTGAATAGATGTTACTGCTCGTACTCTGCAACATTTTATGCATTTTTTAATTTCATTCTTTGCACTTATTATCCAGTATTTCTGTCTTATTGCGGATAACATTAAATGCAACCCTCCGTGTAAATGTTTTTCGTGATAATGCTGTATCATTAATTTTGTGAAACGTGATTATTATTTGGCAATATAATGGGATGTTTACTTTCTCTGGTAATTTCTGCGTTTCTTAATCTACCTCCTACTCTTAAAATTTCGTTTTCATCTAGAAATGGATTATGTGAAATGATTTTGCTTTTAGTTTTAATCGGTTGTCCTGTCTTTAAAGCCTTAATTTCTTCTGAAAATTCATTAAGTTGAACATTTCTTATAATAAATTCTGAAGCCTTCCGTAACTCATAGGCGGTAAGCACACCAGATTGCTTTTCACGAGCGGATTTACAGTTGTTCACGAAGCGCAGAACATAAGCCATTATTCCCAGTACTTTGTTTAAATTTCCGTACAGTTCAAGATTTAGTAACGGTTTTATAGATTCCACAAGTGTTTTTAAAGTAACACATTTTCGTTCTTCACTAAAACGTTTTGCAAGTCAGCTTCGGTATTCATTTCGTTTATGTGATGTCGAATATCTACTTCTGAAAGCCAGGGTGGCCCAGAAAACCAATCACTATCATTAATTAGAGCTTCAGCATCCATCCCCCTCGTAAGTTTATCAGCAGGGTTTGTCTTCCCACTGCAAAAGTACCAGTTGTTTAAAATTGTTTTCTCCTTGATTTCTACCACACGATTTCTAACAAATTGTTTCCACTCGTTGGCAGATCCCTTGATCCAGTGAATGCAAATTTGGGAATCAGTCCAGTAAAATATATATTTCCCTTATCCAACTGCGGAAATATCGATTGCAAATACGAACCTAATCTTGCAGAAATTAATGTTCCCAAAAGTTCAAGC